AATTAGCATAAATGAAAATATTGAAACACTAGTGCGTTAAAAGAATTTAATTAGATATAAATAATCCAGAATAGAAGCATTATTACGGATGCGTGATAAAAAATAATATGGTTGAGAAATAAATTAGAGATAAGAAGGAAATTCAAGATTTTTAGTATGGAATATAATCTAACAAAAAATTAAAATAGATCTGTACACCAGAATCAAATAAAAAAGGGAAACAATAGTAGATTATTAGAATTAATTAGCCAAAAAACACAGAAGTGTTTAATCAATACAATATGATATGCCAAGTTAAGTTTCAAATAATAGATTAGAAAACGAAGAAGGTACTTATTCAACGAACTCGATCTTAAGAACCTGATAATTTTTCTTATTGAATTTATATATATAAATTTGGAATTAACTGTTTATATTGTGAATTATGTGCCATTAACGAACTTGTTACAATTATGTATATTTTGCGAAAAAAGAAGGAAAAGTCAACAGACTAATGTGATTATAGAAGGATAGCATATAGGATATATATTAAATTAATTTACCCAAAAGTTGCACTTCATTTACAGCGGAAACTTTTGCAATAAAAGCGGATTAGAGCTTATGAAAAACAAAGCCAAAGTGGGATCATAAAAAATAAAAATAGAGCTAATTGTGTATTTAGATTTATTAAGAAAATAAGCAGAGATATAATTAAGAAACAAAAGTACATAAATGAAGAACTAGAAAATTTTGGTCATATAAATATAGGCTTTAAATATAGGTTAAAAGCATTTCAACATTTCTTTAACTAAAGGATATCTCTTAAAAAATTGTCTATTATCAAATGTTAAATCTGACATCTATACTTAGATATTTAGATATTTATTATTGTTCGGTGTCATAACAATACAATTAGGCAGAATATTTTCGTGCGAAAACATATTAATGGGTGCTTTCTATTTAGTGACACAAGTCGACACAAGTATCGTTCTATCTTTCTAGCTTTCAGTGATTAACAAGGACAAAATGATACTTGCGTCGACTTATGTCATTAAATGGAAAGCACCCAATAAAAAGAATCACACGTAAAAATAGCTGGTGTTGCTTAATAAATTAATATAGTGATGATGGTTTAATATTTATTAATTATCTTGAATCTTAATAACGATTTACTTAATTTTCACATAGAAGATGTCTGATAACTATTCAAACAAATAATTTTTTTACAAATATCATAAGGTTAGTCATTTTTTATAGTTCTATGGACGCTGATTACGAATCCAATTTCTATATTGCTCCATCACATCAATTTGGGAAATTCGCAATAGAAGTTGGAAAAAAAGTCTATTTTCACATATTTTATCATATTATAACTACATAGGCTAGAAATGTAGAGAAATAGTAGAAATGTAGAGTTTTTGTTACAATCAAAATTAAGTATGTTATTAGAAGCCCTTAAAAGAAATTTTTTGGCTGTATACATTGATAAGATATTCATGTTTAAATAAAAATTTATTGCGGAAAATTTGTGAATTACATCATTGACAATTTATTAAATAATTTTCAATTATGTCTGTTTAAATTTAACGATCTTTTACATTGCTGAATACGAATCTGATATTAATCTGATATTAAATTTACAATAAATTCAAAATGATGTATTCAATATGGATAATCCAGACATTTTTTAAGTTTGACAATATTCAATCCACTATTTGAATTTGTTAAATCTGCATAACATGTATTATTGGATCGTGTGAATCCTCGGAATTGGATGAGGAAAGTTAATAATCAATATGTATGAAGTCTGAACACATGATGGTATTTTATACATGTGATATTTTATTCCTAAATCATTGATCTATTTCTTCGAAAGGATGTTAAATAGAGAAATTTATGAAAAATATCTTTTCGCAACCTAAAGGAGATGCCTTTGAATGTGAAAATGTATACATGTGAAGATGTTCCAACAAGATAGCTGTCCAGCCTATTATGTCAGAAGAATTATAGCAGTATTATAGCAATATATCAATCATCCGCACATACATCCGATTAATGCAAACTAAACGCTGCTGAAAGATATTTATTAGATTTGGAAAAATAAACGGAGACCGACTGAATTTGAACTCGGAATCCCTCGCTTACTATCAAGACACTTAGTGTCTGCATGACCGCGACGATTCCTCTCTGTTAATGTCGGTCCACAATAGGTGATTTAAGCTTTAAGACGTAAGAAATTGACCAATTATAATCGAATATGAAAAGAATAATCGACTATGATTGGTCAATTTCTTACGGCTTAAAGATTAAATACTTATTGTGGACCGACACTTAGATGTTTATAATCCGAATCTCTTTCATAACCGCTTACGGTCTATTTCTTACACTGCTATACATGAAATTATTGAAATGTAAAAATATATTAATGATTATATAAATCAGTCAATAATAAATTTGTATTATTTAATAGAATATGCATTAACAATTTAATCACCAAAGAAGTAACATTATGCATCTGCATTTAGATATTTATATGTAGCAGCTCGTAATGTATATTAAGTCAGTATGTAAGTGACTGACTCCGTTATTAAAGTTCTCGATCAAATATTCTCTAAGCGATGAATCAGAAAAATGTACGAGTAAGCTGATCACCAAGGTTATCAAATCTCACAATTTTGGAGTTTTATTTTTGGGATCGAATTAAAGAATTGATTTCTTCAAAGCCAATACCGAAATAATATGAAGAAAAGAATAAAAAAAGCATGCAGGAAAATCCAAAAAGAATTGCTTGATGTTTTGTTTTCATTTTCATGGCGAATTCAAAAGTTTGGAGTTCACTGGAAGATAATTCGAACATTTATGAAAGAAAATTAATTATTTGCATTGTTCTTCTAACTTTTTAATATATTCCTCATAATACATTATCAACAATGAAGAAGTTTTCGATATATTGATAGGGACAGGTGTCAAAGTCAGAGATATTTTAAGAGCACATTTACATACGAAAGGTACAGAAAATTTAAAGTCCTTATCCCTGATAAGATTTACACACGCGCATACGCACACATGCAATGTGCGTATATGTATATTTGAGAAATAAGTAGCTCATTAATAATAAGATTATATAGTTACTAAATTATTACCAAGAAATATCTTCTCTTTCTCATCTTTTTTCTTTTTAACATATTTCTACATAATTAATTTTCATTTTAAAGTGTTGAAAAATAATTCAAATGGGACATAGGACATAGGATGTCTATAAGACATCTGTAAAACATCATAAATCGGATCTATAAAATGTCTATCTAATAGTAAGATATCATAAAGGTGTCTTTTTGATAACTTCCTCATTTGATAAGATATGTCAATAATTTTTAAAATATCTTTTAGATATTTTTAAGATATATAATGTTTTCTGGATTAGTATATTAACATTAGCAAAACTACAGAAAAAATTTTTTTTCGTTCTTTTGCAATTTGTTTAAATAATTTTTTAACTTATTTATTTGGAAATATTAATATTTTTCTGATGAAAAAACAAATTTTAATTTAATTATTATAGAATAAATGCATTTTGGCGATCATTTATTTGCATATATTTTTTATCGGCACAATATCTCAAATAAACTGAACAAAGAGAATTTTTCCAAATTTTAAACTATTTATTATTTTATAATATTTTTCGACATGAAAAAGGGATTAGACATAAATTTTTTTATATTACCGCACATTTTTATATCATTTTAATAAATATTTAGATATGTGGATATCATGCTGATCATATTTTGCTTATTGCTTTCATCATTATAAATATCAATACTATTAAAACAACATTTACATTGAATGCAGAAAAATGATGTATGTAAAGAATAATTGAATTTTTCAAATTTGAAAATATTCTGATACATTGAAAGAAAAGATCTTAATTCAAGTTTTTAGATTTATAGTGTATTTGAATATCTTCGACAGGTACGAATATGAATATCTTCGAATATTTTTGACAAAATGTTTTGCTTACAAGATATGGTTTTGTATGTGTTTATTGATTTGAAAATTAATATAAAATAAATCGGTATAAAAATATATTACATATATAAAACATATTTTGTAATATAAAAATAATTATAGTATAAAAATGTTTCTGGAGAGGTTTATTTTTAACTTATTAATATGATAAATATGTGCATTAATAAATATGAATTAAAATACAATTCATGCGGGAGTACTCATGCAAATATCTTTGAAACGAGTGACTATTGTAATAACTATAACTTAGTTAGATTCTGTCTAATTCCGTAACACACACGCCTACATGCAGAATTATTGCCAGAAATAATATGAAGATTGTTAAATATTTGGAATATACAATTATAACATAAACGAATAAATTAATATTATTATCACATTATGGAATTAATATTATTAATATTATTTTTCCAGATAATTTCCAAATGTTTTATTAAAACAAATAAAATAACATTTTTTAGCAATAATTAGATTGATAAAACGGCATTCATAAATGATTCTTTAGCATGATAACTTTGACGACGTGATTTAACAACTCTTTTAATGATAATTCTATAAGGAAAAAGAAACTATAATTCTTAGTGTTTTACTTTTACTTTTTTGAATTACAGTTCAGTTTATGTTTTATTTCTCCAGTTATGTTCATTATTAGATATATTTAAGAAAATGTCAGATTTTCATATAAAAATTTAAAATAAAATTTATTTCTCAATTTAATTTTTATTAATATAATACATATTGAATAAAAGTTAATATTAATTAATTAAATCTTGATTTTAATGTTTGCATTCCATTATACTGCTTTTTTAAATTTAAGAATAACTGTAGCGATATTTCGTATTATCTTCTTTTTTAGTACATCAAATTATTTTGAAAATTATCGTAATGTTTCACATCGTCAAAGTATCAAATTTATTTTAAAAGATATTTGCAAGCTGTGTTTACAAATGTTTAATTGTAAAACTTTGATGCGTAAAAAATTGCAAAGTAAGTACTCGAGATTCTTGGTGAACCATCGAATCCGGAATCATTACTCCTTGTTGAATTCATTCTCTTATGCTCAGAATCATCATCTAGTTCGACGCAGGTCAATCCATTTTCGTCCATACTCTCTGTCGTAGCGGTACTCGTCGTACTTCCAGTACTATCACTACTGATAGATGATGTGCGCGAATGATGACGTCTCCTCTTGATATTTGCCCTTCTAACTTTAGAGAGGTCTCGTGGAGTGGCCGTAAGTAATGCCGATGGTGTTGTATAAAACATCTTTATAAGATCGAGCGGCCGTTGTGAAGGTGTATTTTTAGATTTAGGAGATGTTTTCGGTGAAAATTTTGCTTGTTGTTTTTCAAGAATAACTTTGGTAGTAAGTATACTCTGTTTATTCGTTGTCTTTGTCAGTTCATTATTATGAATATCCTTTAGCCCCTTTTCATTTTTTTCCGATGGTGTTCTTTTGATCGATGATTTTGTCTTTTTCATTACAGACATTGTCTTAGAGGATTGTAGATTAATGTTGGGACTAACCAGACTGGTTTCTTCTGATGCGACTGGAGTCTCTACATCGTCAGTGCTTGTCAAATCATTCTGATTGCTCCACTTTGAAATCTTCCTGATTAAAGAGGGATTTGGTGATAGCTCATTTGTTGAGGTATTGAGATCCTCATATTCTTGATCGATCTTTCGATTATCAGATTTCTCGGGCAATTTAGGCGCTTCAACTATATTTATTATTGGTATGGCAATTTCAACTGGAATAGTCATTTGTGAAGTTACAGAAGTTGTTGTACTGCAATTGTTGTGTTGTGTCGAAACTTTCTTTGCCATAGAATTTGTATCTTTATTTGTAGAATCAATTACTATCGAAAAGTTATTTTTCTTTTTTGGCATTTTTTGCATCGTGGGGATTCTCTTCTCGATTTCCGTTACTTTCATTGATTTTTGTTTCGCAATTTCTGCTTTTTTCATTTTCAAAGATTTCAAACTAATTCTCTTTTTCACCTTTTCTTCTTCAATAATATCATCACTAGATTCAATTGTTAAACTTTCAAACGCTGTGATATTCTTAACATCAATCTCATTTTTCTTATTATCAATTTCTTTCCACATGCATTTTGAATTCATTAAATTTATTTTTTCGTCGATTTTGGAAGTATTTATTTTCTCATGAAAAAATTCATTTTGTTGCTTTATTCTCGTCGTTTCTGGACTACCTGGTGCTTTAATTTCGCTCCAAAAATCAATAGACTCAGTAGAAGCGCTTCGCGATAATACGTTTTCCTCCTGAAGATTATCATTATCATCGGTTTTTATTTCTTTTTCTGTTATTATATTCAGAGACTTTGTTGATTCTGCTCTCTTCTCAATGAATTTATCTTTGTCTTTTTTATTAATAGCTTTTTTATCAATAGATATAGACTGTTTTTTTGAGATAAAGGAATTCTCGGGAATATTATTTAATGTAAAATTTATTGCATTATTGTTTATTAATTTCGAAGACTCGACCGTGGTGTTTTTTTCAAAATCCTTGCATCGGTATCTTTGTTAAAAATTGACAGTGATTTACCATCTTCAATCTTCATTACTTTAAATGCGCTTGAGTCTTTTTCAACCTTTGGCGAATCTACAACGCCAACATTTTCATTCACAGTGTTTTTCAAAAGCGTATCTGTTTTGAAAGGAAATTTTAATTCTGTGCTATTAAGCTTTGGCATTTCGCTTTTAGAACTGAATAGATTTATTGAAGAATCCTTTGCTACTTCAATACAATTAATCTTTTTAATATTAGTTTTCAATATTTTTGCTTCTTTTGATGCATTAACTTCGGTGACCCTTTCTTCCATCGTTGATGAATCAGTCATTTTTGAGGACAATTCGTGTAACAAATTTTCGTCAGTCTTTTTCACATTGTTCTTCAATGTTTCTGTCAAATTGACATCTGTCATTAGTTTTGACTTTTCGGAGCATTCATTATTAAGCACTTTATCGTTTATTTCTTTGGACAAAGTCATTTTTTTAGTTCGCAACTTAACTGCATCATTGTGTCGCATCACGTCAATTTTAAAAGTTGACTTATTTGAGTCTACGTCATCAGTTCTTTGCAAAGCGTTGAAAGAAGAAACTTGCGCCAAAGTCGATGTTTTGTTCACCTTCTTTTCCGGTAATGCGACAGTAGTAGTCCTGACAACGTCCTGATCAGTTTTCGGCGAGTTCGCCAGATACTCTGTAGTCTCTCGTAACGAAAGCTTTGGCACTTCTACGGTATTATTTCTATCCGTATTAATTTTAGACAGTTTTGGCAGACGATAGGTGTTATTCGTAAGCATCATACTGTTGGCACTGGTTTGAGTAGTATTATCACTAACTTCAGTTTCAACATCGTTTCGCTTTGAAGTATTCTCGTACATTGCCGAAATTTTTGGCTTGTCTTCTTTCATTGCAGACTCATCTGTTCCAATGGAAATAATAAAATTTTGAATAGTGGAAGATTCCATCACTTTAATTGTTGAATCGCGTTCTAAACAATCAAACATTTTCATCGTATTATTGATTACATTACAATGCTTTTGACTTTTGTCTTTTGACTTTTGGCTTTTGTCATTCTTTATATTCATGATGAAAGTGTCTTCAAATCCTTGAAGATCTTTTTGTAAGTCGTTTTTTGGTGCATTTGTTAAAATAAAATCTGAATCGTTCGATTGTACGAGATTTGTAGTTGTTTTATTCTTCGAAGATAATAAATCTTTAGTATTGACTTCTCGTATATCGTTTTTTGTTGTTGAAGCATCAATATCTCGTTTATTACATGAGTTATTGTTTGATATAGAATGAATATCTTTTTTTGCCAAGAAATCTATTTTCTTAGATTTACATATTGTTTTCTTGGATGCTTTAAAATTCTTATTATCACTCGTTATTTGAATCTTGTTATTCATCTCTACTAAATCTTCATTTAAGCTTCCTAATGCATTATTTTTAAGAATATTATTTTCTATATCAACAGAATCATTTATTAAAATTGATTGATTTTCATCGGTTTTCATATCCTTAACTTCTTCAAGATTTTTGTTAAATTTTTCTATAGGTTTTCTCATTGTTAAATACACGCTATTTCTTGAAGAATCTTTTATGTAAGGTTTTTGTACTGCTAACACGACCTTTGTTTCTGCTTCATCTGTATCGTTTAAAGAAACATCCGCCTTATTTTCAATTTCAAATTTCTTGGGAATGATCAATTTATGTTTTTCATTTTCAGAGCTAGTATTAACCCAGATCGTAGAAAAATCCCCGACACTATTACATGCCTCGATTTTATATATCTGAGGTTTTACTTCATCATTTTTTTCAATTCGTGAGTCAATAGAAATTTCGTTAAAAGTGTTTGATTGCCCATCAACCTTGTTAGTCAATGACAGGCTATCAAGAGATGATCTTTTTTTCTTCTTTGTTTTCCTCATAATTTTTCTTATCCTTGCCGTAGCAGCTTCCTCTTCCTCTTGGGTCATTGTATCAGATTCAATATTATCTGTATAATAGGAGTGCTCGATAATTGATCCTCTCATCATTGTTCCTTTTCTGAGAATTAAAGTACCTCGTCGTGCCTCGTTTTTTATTTGAGCTTGTTCTTCAGCCACGAGACTATCCAAGACTTTAGCCTGTACTTGAGCGTATGCAACCTCCCGTTGCAATTGCTCAGGATCAAGTTGTAAATCGGTGGAGGATCTGCGTCGCGTAAATCTACGAGTGATTCTCTTTTGTAAAATTTCTGGCTCTTGAGAATCCTCCAAACGATCCAAATTGACCTGATGATACAAACGTATTTGTTGTTGATTATCATCGCCGTCTGACTTTTTATCTTTAATGAAGAACTTTTCCATTAAAAGTTCGCCCACAGATTTTTCATGTTTCTCATTGTGTTCACGTAATGCTGGATTGTCTTTTAAAGCTTGTGATCTGATTTTGATAGTCGGTCGGTCACGACGCAGCCGATTTCGGGGAGGATTTCCATTGTGCGAAAGTATTCTCGGTGAAGAGACATCGATGTCTGCTGTATCAATCACTCGTCTTGCGTGCCTCACAGCGATCGGCGAAAAACGATGCAAATGACTGAGCGGAGATTCCGAAATCGTTGATAGATGCGGCGAAAAACGCGATAGTGGTGTGTGAAAAGGCGTTCTGTATAAAATATTATAATCTCTAATTTGAAAATAATGATCCTAATCTACATTTCATGTAAATTGATACTTGCTTTGGCGGATACTTTTCTCGTCGATTGTTTAATGTGTTTCTTTTATAAACAATAAAAACACATTGCATCATATACAAAAACATTGTACCTTTAAATCTTAATATAAACATCATTGCATGAGAAAACATTTATATTAATATAAAAAAATATGTGAATTTGTTTCATAATTTTATAAAGTTTTATTCGCATTTTAGAAATACGAAAACAAATTTTATGTGATAAAGTAACGATTATACATATATAATTATATTTTACGAAGTTATTTAATACCTTCGTCTAATATTATAATAGGAGTTATGATATATTCGTATTAATTGATGAATCTCTCGATCGACCACCACATATTCGCGCCATTGTCAAATTATTTTTATTTTTTGTTACGTTGTACAGAACTATTTCACAAACACTTATGAGATACACATGTTAAATGTAAATGTGATTTATTTGACGTAATTGATATATAATTTTGTACATATATCTTTAGAAATTTATTTTAATTATGAGTACATAATTAGAAAAGAAAATTTATATATATTTTTTTTATTTTTATCATATATGAGGAAAAAATATCAAAGATATATTCTACATTTTTTAGAAAAATTTTGAGTAAAAAGAAAAATATTGATATAAAACAACTATTTTGTTTTACCAATATAAATAAAAACAATATATTCTAATAAAAGTATAAAAGTATAACTATATATAGTTCTTGTTTTTTTTCCTTCATCAAAATTATTAAAACAGTAGAATACAAAAATATTATTTTAAATATGTAAATATAAATATGTCTAAAATATCCTTAATGCATGAAATGCGTAATAATAATTGGATAGAATATAATTCACATATGTTTCTAAAATATATTCAAATATATTATTGAAATATATTTTTAATATCTGAATAACTATGTCTCATAAATACATGATTTGTATAAATCTACTAAATGTATCAATTATAAATTTAATGCGTTTACTATTTCTTGTAATAATATATTAAATATTAAACTAATTTTTATTAATTTTAAATTTCCTTTTTTTTACTATCATGCAGTGATAAATAATTTAACGAGTCATACAGCTTCTAGACTTATTATCCAAAAATATACAAAAAAGATTTTATTTCTAATTATAACATGATATATGTATGCATATATTTTATCTTACAATTATATTTTTTTAAATATTTTTAGTGCATGTTTCACAATAATTTCCGAAATTATAAAAAATTGAGAGCAATATTAATATTGTAGGAACACAATGTGTACACATTAATAGCCTTGAGAAAGATTTCCACCAATAAACACTCGTCCAAAATAAATTTTAATCTAAGAAGAATAAAAAAACAAAAATTCTGATATCTTTTAATAAAAATAAATTAAATATTGATGTGCATATGATATTTTTGAATTAAAATGGTTTTGAATTAAGAATAAAACGACTTCATTCTTACCGTCCTGTGCCCGTCATTAATGAGCTATGATTGGCATAAGCTCCCCCTCCGTAATAATAAGAGGAGACATCGTTATAATACGGCATTTTCTTGTACACCTTATTCTGTATTTTTTATTTTGTTCACCAAATGATAATAATCTAATCAACACAATCACGGAAAAATCTTGAAAAATGAATCCGCGAAGAATAATGCTTTGGTCCAACGCCCGAATGTGTAATAACGTTTATGTTTTTAACGAATTAACTAGAACAAACGTGACAATTCGACTTTCAGGTGTGCGAAAAGTAAAGTCGTTTTTACGATTGAAAGAGCCAAGACCAACTGAGTTCAGCCGGCGACCTGATGTAATAATAGAATTCTAGTATATGAGGCTTCCAAGCGCGCTAACTATACTATTCGATTCTAATAACCCGTTCGTATGGTTGGTAGTTAGAACGATGAAAAGAATGCGGAACAATAAGAAATATGATAAAAAATGTTTATATTTTGACAACTAATTATACTATATCCTTGATATATACTACTATATCCTTGATATAACTAATTACATCACAAATAAATAAAATGTAAGTAATGTAAAATCAATTTTTATTAAATTTATTCACTAATTATTTCATTTTTTTTCATTTATAAGTACATCTTTTTCCTTTAATGAAAACTCTAAGAATTTCATTAGCATGTGTATAAGTAAACATACATATCTTTACTTGATTCTTTTAGTAGAAATGTAATTAATTATTTTGATTTTTTATATATATAAAGTGTCCGGTAATAATTGTATCACTTCTCGTGGGCAAATAGAGCGGGCTATATTAAATAATCTTACATCATTTTAATTTTTCAATAAAGAATTATTAATTTATATACATTCGCGAATAAACGAGCATTCATACAAAACAACAATCCAGTGTAATGCATGCTTACGATTGCTAGGCATGCGGTAATATATGATATGCATTATAAACAAATACTCTATCACATGTAGTTTACATAAACATTTTGCAATGCGTCTAGCAATCGTCTAGCAATCTAACTGCGTAGCATGTTGTCGAGTTGTCCCATTGTGCGAATACTCGTTTATTTGCGAAGCTGTATAAATAACTTTTTAATTATTGCGAAAATTGTCAAATGATACAGCATTTTTTTATTTAATATAACTTGTTATACTTATTCACGAGCATTGCACATGCACATTTATACACACGCACGTATAATGTATATAAAATTATATATATATATATATATATATATATATATACTTGTTCTATGATAGGTATATATATATATATATATATATATATATATA